GTCTCAGAGTGTGTGGGTCAGTGGGAGTGGGAGGAGCAGTGCTTGGCTTGCTTTTTACGCTACTTCTGTGTTATCTGAAATGTTTTATAGGACTATATTTCTCTATTGTATGTAACAAGTATGTGTACACCAAAATGTCAGTAATAGTCATGGAAGGCTGTGAGGTTATATAAGCGTTTTTTATTTTTACCTATTTGCTAAATATACTTTTAAGTTTAAAAAATTTAGAGAACATTTTTTCATAGAAATTTTCACACAGACACATACACACACGCACACCCACGCACACGCACAAAGCACGTGCTGGGGAGAGGGTGATGAAACCGACTGTCCTCCCGGCCTGTCTGCATCCCATGTTCACGTGCTTCTTCCCGTGCTTCTTCGTCAGCAAGGCCCTCTCCCGTGTGTCCTGTTGGTGGCACTGCTCAGCACACGTCTGCTCTGCTCGATGCTCCTCTCCTCGCACACCTGCCCGCCCTGAGGCTGCGTGGTCCCGAGGGCGCCACGGTGATGGGTGTAACCGCCTGCAGTGGGTCTCTCCCCGAGCAGCGCGGAGTGTTGGATGACTCTCTCCCTTTCCAGGGGATGAACTGCCCGAGCTGGACAACATGGCTGACAACTGGCTGGGCTCGATCGCCAGAGCCACGATGCAGACCTACTGCGACGTGATCCTGCAGATCCCCGAGCTCACCCCGCACTCCACCAAGCAGCTGGCCACTGACATCGGTGGGTCCCCAGCCTCCCAGTCCCCCCCAGGTCTCCACATCGCTCGGATGTGGCCCTAAAACTTCCACACACGCAGTCGCTCCTCCAGGCCGTCCCCAGGGGTCTGACCGAGTCTGGGTGGAGCCACACCTGCACTTGGGAAGTGTTGGAGGGGTTCTGACGGCTGCTGAGGCTGAGGCGTTAGGGCAGCTTCCGTGAGAGAGGGAATGGCTAGCTGCCTTCCCCTCCTGGCCTGTCCCTTTTATTTAACTCGCGCAAACTAGAGTTGGTTAAGCTCTTACCACACACCAGGCACGCCCGTTGCCTTATGCAATCTTCAAACTCCCCTGCGAGGCCCCTCGCCCCCATAGTGCTGATAGGGAAATGGAGGTGCAGGGTGGTTGTGTAATGAGGACACCTGGAGTCCCAGATCCCTACCTGCCTGCGGGCAGAGAGGCGTGTGCCCATCATGCAGGTGGTGCTGAGGTTTGAGCTGTGGGCAGCGGCCGGGAGTGTCCCGTCTCGGTGTCATCCCTCTGGCTTGCCTGGGGCAGCTGGCGCTCAGGGCCCAGGGTGGTAGGGGCCCAGCAGGGCTCTGATCTGATGGCACAGGGCCCAACCAGCTTCTTGTTTTGCTGAAGAAGAGCTACAAGTGAGGCTTCCCCTGGGCCCAGAGCAGCCAGTGGGGGCCCGGCCTGGAGCCCAGTGTCCCGGGCCCTAAGCTGTGCCCTTGGCAGTGAGCTCAGCAGCTGCTTGGGAGGCAGCACCTTGCCATGCCAGTGCAGCAAGGGCACCGAGCAGACAACCAGCGGATAGAGGGCGAGCTGAGCTTGGGCTTGCGCTGGATTTCAGTTCACATTATTGCTCCCTCCTGGTCATCCATGCCTCCTTCCGTGCTGGCTGGAGTGCCAGGAGGTGGGCTGTGGACAGAGCCTGTGCCCTGACGCTTGCCCTGGGAGTGCCCTGGGGCCGGGAGGAGGGCCGAGGCATGACGCTCAAGCGGTGGCACGGTAGGGATGGGTGAGGTCTGTGGTAGCACACGGCCCCTTGAAGACGTTCACACTCGGTGTTAACAGAAACAAGTCTTGAGCCACTCTGCTGGCCAAACAGAAGGTCATTCGCAGCCCCTGGCTCCGGCAAGGGGAGCTCAGTTGTGGGGACAAGCTGTGCAGAACGCAGGTGCCGGACTGTGGAGCCCACCGCCTGGGAAGCACTTCCCCGGAGCAGAACCTCAGCCAGCCGCCTGGGCGGAGCTGGGCCTCAGAAAGAGCCACGGGAAGAGGCCACCTGCCTGGGCTCCCGCCTGTCAGGGAGTAGGGAGGACCTGGCGGCGCTGCCTCCAGCCCTCCCTGCAGGGAAGGGAACTGAGAACTCGCGGAAGGCCCCGGAGGTCTGCCTCCACCGGGCAGGAGGAGAAAGGCAGCACGTTCCTGTCACCCACAGCACTCAGGCTGCCTCCAGGGCCTCCGTCCCATTCCGTCCTCCTAGCACGCAGCCCGATGGACACCAGCTGGGCCGCAGATGGGAGCGGGGTCCGGGCCCAGCTCAGCCAGGAAAACCCTCAGAGTCCAGGCCTCTTGCTGAGGGCAGAGTGGACCCCAGCATTTGGAGGGTGGACAGTGTCCATTCATTACTCAAGGGGGCCCCCGGGAGGCCTTGTGGGCCTGTCCTGCCTGTGCTGAGTCTGTCTGTGTCCCCCCACAGACTACCTGGTCAACGTGATGGACGCCCTGGGCCTGCAGCCCTCCCGCACCCTCCAGCACGTCGGGACGCTGCTGAAAACCAAGCCCGAGGACTACAGGCAGGTCAGCAAAGGCCTGCCCCGGCGCCTCGCCGCCACGGTGGCCGCCATGCGGAGCATGGACTACTGACCCTCACGGCCCAGAGGCGCGGCCTGCGGCTGGGGACGGGCAGTCTCCAGGACGGCCTTGCTCTAAAACTGCCCGGATTGGGCAGTGTTGGTTTTAAAAAGACTTTTCATTTGTGATTACTCTTCCCCCCCCAATCCCCCCAGAGGATTATTTATTAGAGAGGTATTTTCAGGTGATTTTTTAAAATGGCCCGATCTGGAAAATGGAGTTAATAAATACAGTGAAATGGAAGAACGCTCTTTCCTCTCTCTGCTGGAGATCCAGGGAGCCCTGGGTGCTGTGCATTGGGGATGGCAGTGAGAAAGGAAGGGGGATCGGCAGGTGAGCAGCAGAGAAGATGCTTTTAGATACTAGGGAGCAAGAGGGCATTGGGCAGGAGGCAGCCCAGGGCAAGATGGGCGGGCAGCCCTGAGACCCCAAGGACAGACCTGACAAAGCGGGCACAGCACCCGCCGGCCCCCAGCGGGTGTGAAGGGGCCTCGGGCCTCTGTGACGAGGACCGGCTTTTCCTTTAAAACTGGCAGGCTGAGTCTGCTATTTGCCGGGAGCTTCGTGCCTGTTGAGAGTGCTCTTGTCTACAGGCACCAGAAGAATGTGACTGGAGTGACTCGCACCTGTAGGAGTTGGTTTTTCTCAGGGACAGTATCAGATGGTGGGCTCGGGCACCGATCCAGCGTCCAGCCGAGCAGGCCGTCTCCGACCTGACCCTTCCCTGGTCCTTGTCCTGGCAGGGCATCTCCCGCAGCCACGGGGGCGGGGCAGGAAGCAGAGGTGTCCAGCTGTGGCCCACGTGTTCCCGTTTTAACTTGCGACAGCTTGTGAGCAAAGGAGCTAGCGCGTTTTGCTGTACGTGCCCCATGGCAGCAGAGGAGACAAGACGCATGAAAGCCCTCAGGCCCTGCCAGGCCCACTGGCAGCAAGAGGCTGCGGCTGGGGTCTCTCTTCATCGCTCACTGGAGTAATAGCGATCTTGGGTTCCTTACTTACCCCTCTGAGTCTCAACTTATTTACCTGCAAAATGAGGATTGAATGAAATAAGGCTTATAAAGTATGTGGCCTGGTGCCTGACATTGGTAAGAGCTTGATACAATATAACCACTGTGAAATAGCCACTGATGATAGCAAGTGTGGTGACAGCAACCACTGCTGCAATAGTAAGTCTTCATAGCAGCCAGCGTGGCAGTTCCTGAGAGCTGTGGCTCCAGCCTGCAGTGCCAGCTGTTGCTCCCGCTGGACCCTTCTCCTTCCGTAGCGGCTTCCTGACCTCTGTGGGGAGCCGCAGAGGTTGCCATATTTAGCAATCAAAACTACAGGATGTGAGCAGTTCAATTTGAACTCCAGAAAAGCCAGTGAGTTATTAGTATAAATACCCCAAATATTATATTGACATATTTCCACTAACAAATGAACTCGTTGTTTATCTGACATTCATATTTCACTTGGCTGCCTGTATATTTTACCCGCACCCCTGACCCCCTGGGGCCAGCGGGCCTCAGTGTGGGCAGGTCTGAGCGGTTCAAGCAGCCTCTCCCGCTGGCCGCATCGGTGGTCAGAGCAGTGGCCAGCGAGGGCAGCCTGGCGCACGTGGCCGCCAGGGAGAGGGTGCGCTCCCTGTGCTGGCGCCTCGGCGTGGCCTGTTGGCTGCCCTGTGAGCACAGCCTCCGGAAAGCTGGGCCAGAACAGTCTCTGGAGCTGCTGGGGCCTGAGCCAGCCGAGTGCTTCCCCTCCTGCACTGTCCTTATAACCCAGCGAGTGACTTGGGTGGTATTACAAAGTCCTCAGGCCGCTGCTTCGGGACATCTGGAAAGGGACTCAAAAGCCACTTGCTTGGGGCCTCTCCTTGGCCAGGCCTTGCTCTCAGGCCAGCAGGATGTCCTTCCGCCCCCAAGATGTGTCCGATGCTTCCACTGCCCCATCCGACAAAGAACATGGCTCCACATGGTGATTTCTACTTTTATTTTCAAGAATAAAACACGTGCCACCTGGCAGCCACCCCCACCCCTGCCTGATGCTCTCCTGCTCTGCACAACCACTGCCTCACCGATCCACCCCGGAGGCCAGCCACCGGGAAGGAAGGCACAGGTTCTGGGGGCGGTGTGCCCGAGGCTCGGCTCTGGAGCAGATGCTGCCTGGCTGCAGGGAAGCAGCCTGCCCCGAGGGGAAGGTGTCCTCAGGCCTCAGAGCCTGGTTTGAGGTTGGGGGTGGGCAGAAACCCACCAGTTCCCCAATCCTGCAGCACCTTGGCCTGGGGCCTGGGGCCTGGGGCCTGGGGCCTGGGGCCTCTCTGCAAGAGACAGACTTGACTGCACACCTAGCGTTGGCCCTTTGGAGAGGGCACGATGGAATGAGGCCTTGGGCCCTGGTCTCGGCTCCTTAACATCCAAGTTCTAGGGCTTCCCAGGGTGGGCAGGGGCAGGGCAAGGCCTAGATGGCATCACCCTCACTGTCAGACTCAATGATGTCCAGTGGCTGCAGACGCAGGGAGTCATAGTTGGGGGGCGGGGTGCCTGGGATGGGCAGTGTCTGCTCATGGGGATAGGCCTCGGGGCTGGGGCCATGGTTGGCCGTGTCAGGGTGGAAGGCAAAGTTGGTGTGAGCCTCCACCAGCTCGGCCACGGTGGGCGGGGGGCCGGCGTAGCGCGCCTGGGCCCGCCTCTGCCGCAGGCTCTTGGAGAAGGCCACCAGCCTGATGACGGTGATCCACAGGAAGTCGATGACGATCTCCGCGAACTCGATGAGGCACAGCACCGAGCCCCCCATCCAGAAGCCAAACTGGCCGCCCAGGTTCGAGAGCAGCCAGACGATCTGTGGGGGACAGGGGCTGAGAGCCTGGCAGAGGTGGGGGACGGCCACAAGGTCCTGCCTGGCCCCAGCCTCCTGGGTCCTGTGAGCTGGGTGGTTGACTGGGAAGGGGGCAGGGAGACCATCTCAGCCCAGGGAAACAATTACTTAGAGACCTTCCTTCCTAATGCTTCTGTGGGGCTGGGGACCCTCCTGACCCTCCTGCGGGGCAGAGGGGTCAGGAGCCCCAAACTCACGTTATTAGCTGCTGACTCCTCAATGGTACGATAGTTGAATTCTTGGAAGTAGATGTTGAGCTTGACAATTCCCTTCCTGCAGGAGGCAACAGGGGCTGGTATACACACATAGCTGCCCAGCCCTCCTCTGCTTGAGCTTGGCACAGGACAATCCCCCGAGGGCCCCTCTGAGCCTGGAGTCACAAAAGGCTTCTTTGCCCAGTGCCCATCCTGTGGGCCCATTTCTCAACCAGCTTCCTAAGGGTTACTCCGGCCCAAGACAGCCCCTGAGAGCTCCCCTCCCACCCACAGAGGGCCCAGCCCAGATACAGTAGACGCTGCAAAGAGTCCGCCCTAACCCTTGCCCTGTCAGGAAACCTGGGGCAGAGAAGGTTGGCCATGTGGGCTGCCCTCTTATACCTGATGGCCCTCAGGCTGAGCTCTCTCACAGCCAGGCCTCACTTTTCTGAACCATCCTTATGCTCCTCAGAGGGTAGCTCCAGCACCACTTCCCTATACAGACCTCCCTTATCTCTCCAGCTAGATGGAAGCTCCTTCTCACTGTGCTCCCACAGGGAGGGGCTGGCACAGACTCATCACCTAGATTCAGGTGTCCTGATGTATATGCATCTTGTGTCTTCTGTGCTCAGTGCATGTTTGTGTTATATGAATAGAAAGATGGATGAATGACTGGAGGATGGGTGAGTGGAATAATGGATGGATGGATGAATGGAAGGATAGATGGATGGATGGATGGATGGATAGATGGATGGATGGGTAGAAGACTGGAAGGATGGAGGACAGGTGGATGGGTGGATGGATGGAAGGATGGATGAATCCATGGATGGGTTGGGTGGGTGGATGGATGGATGGGTAGAAGACTTGCCAGATAGAAAATGGGTGGAAGGCCGGGACCGGTTTGGCTCAGTGGATAGAGCATCGGCTTGGGGACTGAAAGGTCCCGGGTTTGATTCCGGTCAAGGGCATGTACCTTGGTTGCGGGCATATCCCCAGTTGGGGGTGTGCAAGAGGCAGCTGATCGATTACTCTCTCACATCGATGTTTCTAACTCTCTATCTCTCTTCCTCTCTGTACAAAATCAATAAAATAAAAATAAAATTAAAAAAGAAAATGGGTGGAAGGATGGATGGATGGATGGATGGATGGATGGATGGGTGGGTAGAAGACTGGAAAGATAGAGGACAGGGGGATGGATGGATGGATGGATGGGTAGAAGACTGGCAAGATGGAGGACGGGTGGAAGGATGGAAGGATGTATAGAAGACTGGAAGGATAGAGGACGGGTGGAAGGATGGATGGATGGATGGGTAGAAGACTGGAAAGATAGAGGACAGTGGGATGGATGGATAGATGGATGGTAGAAGATTGGCCAGATAGAGGACAGGTGGAAGGATGGATGGGTGGATAGATAGAAGGATGGATGGATGCATGGATGGGTGGTTGGGTGGATGGATGTGTAGATGGGTGGATGGATGGGTGGGTGGGTGGGTGGGTAGGAAACTGGAAGATGGAGGACGGGTAGGTGGGTGGATGGATGTGTAGATGGGTGGATGGATGGATGGGTGGATGGTTGGATGGAAGGATGGATGGATGCATGGATGGGTGGTTGAGTGGATGGATGTATAGATGGGTGGATGGATGGGTGGGTGGGTGGGTAGGAGACTGGAAGGATGGAGGACGGGAGGACAGGTGGACGGGTGGATGGATGGGTAGGTGAATGGAGGACAGGTGGATGGGTGGATGGATGTATGGATGGGTGGGTGGGTAGGAAACTGGAAGGATGGAGGATGGATGGGTGGATGGGTGGATAGAAGACTGCAAGGATAGAGGATGGATGGGTGGATGGCGGATGGGTGGGTGAGTGGGTAGGAGACTGGGAGGATGGAGGCAGGTAGATGGGTGTATGTAGAGGTGGCAGATGGAGGAACAGGCTCTCCTTTGGGAATGGAACAGTCTGAGTCCCCTTGACTGGCTCTCACTCCCAGTGCGTCCTCCTCTAGGCTCACTCCCAGGTCTGAGCAGAGTGAGAAGGGGTCTGAGTTGCTGCCCTGTGTCCAGACTCCTCTCCTGAGGCCCTTTTCTACCTCCCAGGCCTGCCCACACCCAGGCTTACTTGCTCAAGGTGATGTTGGTACTTTGGTCCCGCTCCTGAGATAAGACGTGGAAAATCCAGTCCTGCAACCCAAGAAAGCAGCTGGAAAGATGGGGCCTGCAGCACCCCCTCCAGCCAGGGCCGCCCAGCGGCTGAAGCTCCCGGGACACGCGTGGGCTCTGGGAGAGCAGGCAGGGGATGTGGCTGCTGTCAGGGGAGGAGGCCCTCAGGGCTCCAGACTCTCCCCCCAGAGGCTAGCCTCCTCGGCCAGCCTTGGCCACCTCTGCCCCCCCCTCTGCTGCCCCTCTGCCTGGTCCTGCTCCCTGGCCCTGCCCACGCTGGCTCAGCTTCATCCTCTGCTCCATCACCTTCCAGGGAGCCTCCTCTGACTATCCAGAGAGGCTCTCCCTGGCTTACTTGCTGCAATCCTCACGCTACTGTGCATGGTCTTATTTCTATGGGCTCTGGCCAGAGTGCAGGCGCTGCAAGGACACAGGACTCTGTGGCTCGCTGCACAGTGCTGGGAGTGGAGAAGGGGGGGGAGAGGGGGAGCTCCCTGTCTGAAGCTCCAAGCAGCCTGCAGGCCCCCCAAAGGTGGGAGCCAGGAGCTCGGCCTCTCCACCCTCTCACCTCAGAGGCCTCTGAAGGCCAGTCAGCCATGGAGATGGTCATCTTGTACTGGGTGTCACTGGAAGAGAGAAGGCAGCCCGGTGGCTGTGCTGCCCCACAGTACCCGCCCCTCCCCGCCCCCACAGTGCCCACCCCTCCCCGCCCCAACAGTGCCCACACCGCCCGCCCCCACAGTGCCTGCCCTCCCCCCCACAGTCCCGCCCCTCCCCGCCCCCACAGTGCCCGCACTGCGCAGGGCAGCACCTGGCACTCACTTGCAGGACTCCTTGCACATGCTGATACAGGTCTCCCTCTGGGCCGGGCTCCTGCGCAGCTGCGAGTAGCAGTAGACTGACAGGGAGAGGCCGCTCTGAGCGCCTCCCGCTGTGCTCTCCCACCTCCGCCCGCACCCTGAGGTGCTGGGACCCTGCCATCCGCACCCTGAGGTGCTGGGACCCTGCCATCCGCATCCTGAGGTGCTGGGACCCTGCCATCCCCACCCTAAGGTGCTGGGACCCTGCCATCCGCACCCTGAGGTGCTGGGACCCTGCCATCCGCATCCTGAGGTGCTGGGACCCTGCCATCCCCACCCTAAGGTGCTGGGACCCTGCCATCCGCACCCTGAGGTGCTGGGACCCTGCCATCCGCACCCTGAGGCACTGGGACCCTGCCATCCGCACCCTGAGGCGCTGGGACCCTGCCATCCCCACCCTGAGGCGCTGGGACCCTGCCATCCCCGCCCTGAGGTGCTGGGACCCTGCCATCCTCGCCCTGAGGTGCTGGGACCCTGCCATCCGCACCCTGAGGTGCTGGGACCCTGCCATCCGCACCCTGAGGTGCTGGGACCCTGCCATCACCACCCTGAGGTGCTGGGACCCTGGGCCGCAGGATCAACTCCGGCCTGGGCTCTTCTCCTGTGGCCTCAGCTGTCAGATGTGGGAGGTCACCGCCCTCCTGCACGCCTGCCTGCACCCCCAGAGGGCTGAGCCCTCAGAGCGGCCTGACAGGGACACAGCTCCCTAAGAGGACACAGCTCCCTGACGGGACACAGCTCCCTGAGGGGACACAGCTCCCTGATGGGGACAGAGCGGCCTGACAGGACACAGCTCCCTGAGGGGACACAGCTCCCTGAGGAGACACAGCTCCCTGAGGGGACAGAGCTCCCTGAGGGGACAGAGCTCCCTGAGGGGACAAGGCTCCCTGAGGGGACAGAGCTCCCTGAGGGGACACAGCTCCCGAGGGACACAGCTCCCTGAGGGGGACACAGCTCCCTGACGGGACACAGCTCCCTGAAGGGACACAGCTCCCTGAGGGGACACAGCTCCCGAGGGACACAGCTCCCTGAGGGGACACAGCTCCCTGAGGGGACACAGCTCCCGAGGGACACAGCTCCCTGAGGGACACAGATCCCCGAGGGGACACAGCTCCCTGACGGGACACAGCTCCCTGAAGGGACACAGCTCCCTGAGGGGACACAGCTCCCGAGGGACACAGCTCCCTGAGGGGACACAGCTCCCTGAGGGGACACAGCTCCCGAGGGACACAGTTCCCTGACGGGACACAGCTCCCTGAGGGGACACAGCTCCCTGACGGGGGACACAGCTCCCTGACAGGGGACACAGCTCCCTGACGACACAGCTCCCTGAGGGGACACAGCTCCCTGAGGGGACACAGCTCCCTGAGGGGACACAGCTCCCGAGGGACACAGCTCCCTGAGGGACACAGATCCCCGAGGGGACACAGCTCCCTGACGGGACACAGCTCCCTGAAGGGACACAGCTCCCTGAGGGGACACAGCTCCCGAGGGACACAGCTCCCTGAGGGGACACAGCTCTCTGAGGGGACACAGCTCCCGAGGGACACAGTTCCCTGACGGGACACAGCTCCCTGAGGGGACACAGCTCCCTGACGGGGGACACAGCTCCCTGACAGGGGACACAGCTCCCTGACGACACAGCTCCCTGAGGGGACACAGCTCCTGAGGGGACACAGCTCCCTGAGGGGGACACAGCTCCCTGAGGGGACACAGCTCCCAAGGGACACAGCTCCCTGAGGGGGACACAGCTCCCTGAGGGGACACAGCTCCCTGACGGGACAGAGCTCCCTGATGGACACAGCTCCCTGACGGGGGACACAGCTCCCTGATGGGGGACACAGCTCCCTGACGGGACACAGCTCCCTGACGGACACAGCTCCCTGACGACACAGCTCCCTGACGACACAGCTCCCTGAGGAGACACAGCTCCCTGACAGGGGACACAGCTCCGTGAGGGGACACAGCTCCCTGACGACACAGCTCCCTGACGGGACACAGCTCCCTGAGGGGACACAGCTCCCTGAGGGGACACAGTTTCCTGAGAGACACAGCTCCCTGACGGACACGGCTCCCTGAGGGGGACACAGCTCCCTGAGGGGACACAGCTCCCTGAGGGGGACACAGCTCCCTGACAGGGGACACAGCTCCCTGAGGGGACACGGCTCCCCTGAGGGGACACAGCTCCCTGAGGGGGACACAGCTCCCTGACGGGGGACACAGCTCCCTGAGGGGACACAGCTCCCTGAGGGGACACAGCTCCCTGACGGGACACAGCTCCCTGACGGACACAGCTCCCTGAGGGGACACAGCTCCTGAGGGGACAGAGCTCCCTGAGGGACACAGCTCCCTGGGGGACACAGCTCCCTGGGGGACACAGCTCCCTGACGGGGGACACAGCTCCTTGACGGGGGACACAGCTCCGTGAGGGGACACAGCTCCCTGACGAACACAGCTCCCTGAGGGGACACAGCTCCTGAGGGGACAGAGCTCCCTGAGGGACACAGCTCCCTGACGACACAGCTCCCTGAGGGGACACAGCTCCCTGATGGGACAGAGCTCCCTGACGGGACACAGCTCCCTGACGGACACAGCTCCCTGACGGGGGACACAGCTCCCTGACGGACACAGCTCCCTGAGGGGACACAGCTCCTGAGGGGACAGAGCTCCCTGAGGGACACAGCTCCCTGGGGGACACAGCTCCCTGGGGGACACAGCTCCCTGACGGGGGACACAGCTCCTTGACGGGGGACACAGCTCCGTGAGGGGACACAGCTCCCTGACGACACAGCTCCCTGAGGGGACAGAGCTCCCTGACGACACAGCTCCCTGAGGGGACACAGCTCCCTGATGGGACAGAGCTCCGTGAGGGGACACAGCTCCTGAGGGGACACAGCTCCCTGAGGGGGACACAGCTCCCTGACGGGACAGAGCTCCCTGACGGGACACAGCTCCCTGAGGGACACAGCTCCTGAGGGGACACAGCTCCCTGACGGACACGGCTCCCTGACGGGACACAGCTCCCTGAGGGGACAGAGCTCCCTGAGGGGACACAGCTCCTGAGGGGACACAGCTCCCTGAGGGGGACACAGCTCCTGAGGGGACACAGCTCCCTGAGGGGGACACAGCTCCCTGAGGGGACACAGCTCCCTGACGGGACACAGCTCCCTGAGGGGACAGAGCTCCCTGAGGGGGACACAGCTCCCTGAGGGGGACACAGCTCCCTGAGGGGACACAGCTCCCGAGGGACACAGCTCCCTGAGGGGACACAGCTCCCTGAGGGGGACACAGCTCCCTGAGGGGACACAGCTCCCGAGGGACACAGCTCCCTGAGGGGGACACAGCTCCCTGACGGGACACAGCTCCCTGAGGGGACACAGTTTCCTGAGAGACACAGCTCCCTGACGGACACGGCTCCCTGAGGGGGACACAGCTCCCTGAGGGGACACAGCTCCCTGAGGGGACACAGCTCCCTGACGGGGGACACAGCTCCCTGAGGGGACACAGCTCCCAAGGGACACAGCTCCCTGAGGGGGACACAGCTCCCTGACGGGACACAGCTCCCTGAGGGGACACAGCTCCCGAGGGACACAGCTCCCTGAGGGGACACAGCTCCCTGTCGGGGGACACAGCTCCCTGAGGGGACACAGCTCCCTGATGGGACAGAGCTCCCTGACGGGACACAGCTCCCTGACGGGACAGAGCTCCCTGACGGGACACAGCTCCCTGATGGGACACAGCTCCCTGAGGGGACACAGCTCCCGAGGGACACAGCTCCCTGAGGGGACACAGCTCCCTGAGGGGACACAGCTCCCTGAGGGGACACAGCTCCCCGAGGGACACAGCTCCCTGAGGGGACACAGCTCCCTGAGGGGGACACAGCTCCCTGAGGGGACACAGCTCCCTGAGGGGACACAGCTCCCTGAGGGGTACACAGCTCCCTGAGGGGACACAGCTCCCTGACGGGACACAGCTCCCTGAGGGGACACAGCTCCCTGAGGGGACACAGCTCCCTGAGGGGACACAGTTTCCTGAGGGACACAGCTCCCTGACGGACACAGCTCCCTGAGGGGACACAGCTCCCTGAGGGACACGGCTCCCTGAGGGGACACGGCTCCCTGAGGGGACACGGCTCCCTGAGGGGACACAGCTCCCTGACGGACAGAGCTCCCTGACAGGGACAGAACTGAGGCTGGCACACGTGTAGGCAGGAACCAGTGCACAGGCTGCTGTGCTACACACTCCACTGCAGCACCATAGGACACAGCATGCCACTGCACTTCACACGTGTGTGGGGAACATAAATGGGCACAGGTGTGCATGCACCGGGGTGGCACACCAAGCTCACACATGTGAGGGTGTGTATGTGGCACAGACATGGCCCATACACAACACAGTCAAGCTTAGGAGTAGGAGCCGTAGGGGAGGGGTGCGTAGAGGAGGGAATGTAGTGTGTAGGGGAGGGGTGTGTAGGAGAGGGGTGTGAAAAGGAGGGGCGTGTAGGAGAGAGGTGTGTAGGGGGAGGTGTGGAGGGGAGGGGTGTGCAGGGAAGGGGTGTGGAGGGGAGGGTTGTGTAGGGGAGGGGTGTGGAGAGGAGGGGAGGGGTGCGGAAGGGAGGAGTGGGGAGGGGAGGGGTGTGCAGGGGAGGGGTGTGTAGGAGAGGGGTGTGGAAAGGAGGGGCGTGTAGGAGAGAGGTGTGGAGGGGAGGGGTGTGCAGGGAAGGGGTGTGGAGGGGAGGGTTGTGTAGGGAAGGGGTGTGGAGAGGAGGGGAGGGGTGCGGAAGGGAGGAGTGGGGAGGGGAGGGGTGTGCAGGGGAGGGGTGTGTAGGAGAGGGGTGTGTAGGGGGAGGTGTGGAGGGGAGGGGTGTGTAGGAAAGGGGTGTGTAGGGGGAGGTGTAGAGGGGAGGGGTGTGCAGGGGAGGGGTGTGTAGGGGAGGGCTGTGGAGAGGAGGGGAGGGGAGGGGTGCGGAAGGGAGGGGTGGGGAGGGGAGGGGTGTGTAGGGGGAGGTGTGGAGGGGAGCAGTGTGCAGGGGAGGGTTGTGTAGGGGTGTGGAAGAGAGGGGTTTGGAGGAGAGGGATTCGGAGGGGATGGGTTGGGAGGGGAGGGGTATGCAGGGGAGGGATGTGCAAGGGAGGGGTGCGGAGGGGAGGGGTGTGCAGGGGAGGGGTGTGGAGGGGAGGGGTGCGGAGGGAAGGGGTGTGTAGAGGAGGGAATGTAGTGTGTAGGGGAGGGGTGTGTAGGAGAGGGGTGTGTAGGGGGGGTGTGGAGGGGAGGGGTGCGGAGGGGAGGGGTGTGTAGGTGGTGGTGTGGAGGGGAGGGGTGTGCAGGGGAGGGGTGCAGAGGGAAGGGGTGTGCAGGGGAGGGGTGCGGAGGGGAGGGGTGCGGAGGGAAGGGGTGTGCAGGGGAGGGGTGCGGAGGGGAGGGGTGCGGAGGGGAGGGGTGTGCAGGGGAGGGATGCAGAGGGGAGGGGTGCAGAAGGGAGGGGTGCAGAGTGGAGGAATGCGGACGGGAGGGGTGCGGAGGGGAGGGGTGCAGAAGGGAGGTTTGCAGAGGGGAGGGGTGTGTAGGGGAGGGGTGCGGAGGGGAGGGGTGCGGAGGGGAGGGGTGTGCAGGGGAGGGGTGCGGAGGGGAGGGGTGCGGAGGGGAGGGGTGCGGAGGGGAGGGGTGCAGAAGGGAGGTTTGCAGAGTGGAGGGATGCGGACGGGAGGGGTGCGGAGGGGAGGGGTGCGGAGGGGAGGGGTGCGGAGGGGAGGGGTGCGGAGGGGAGGGGTGCGGAGGGGAGGGGTGTGCAGGGGAGGGGTGCGGAGGGGAGGGGTGCGGAGGGGAGGGGTGCGGAGGGGAGGGGTGCAGAAGGGAGGTTTGCAGAGTGGAGGGATGCGGACGGGAGGGGTGCGGAGGGGAGGGGTGCGGAGGGGAGGGGTGCGGAGGGGAGGGGTGCGGAGGGGAGGGGTGTGCAGGGGAGGGGTGCGGAGGGGAGGGGTGCGGAGGGGAGGGGTGCGGAGGGGAGGGGTGCGGAAGGGAGGTTTGCAGAGTGGAGGGATGCGGACGGGAGGGGTGCGGAGGGGAGGGGTGCGGAGGGGAGGGGTGCGGAGGGGAGGGGTGCGGAGGGGAGGGGTGCGGAGGGGAGGGGTGTGCAGGGGAGGGGTGCGGAGGGGAGGGGTGCGGAGGGGAGGGGTGCGGAGGGGAGGGGTGCGGAGGGGAGGTTTGCAGAGTGGAGGGATGCGGACGGGAGGGGTGCGGAGGGGAGGGGTGCGGAGGGGAGGGGTGCGGAGGGGAGGGGTGTGCAGGGGAGGGGTGCGGAGGGGAGGGGTGCGGAGGGGAGGGGTGCAGAGTGGAGGAATGCGGACGGGAGGGGTGCGGAGGGGAGGGGTGCGGAGGGGAGGGGTGCGGAGGGGAGGGGTGTGCAGGGGAGGGGTGTGCAGGGGAGGGGTGCGGGCGGGAGGGGTGCGGAGGGGAGGGGTGCGGAGGGGAGGGGTGCGGAGGGGAGGGGTGTGCAGGGGAGGGGTGCGGAGGGGAGGGGTGCGGAGGGGAGGGGTGCGGAGGGGAGGGGTGTGCAGGGGAGGGGTGCGGAGGGGAGGGGTGCCAGGCAGGGGCTGTGCCCATGCTGCGCGGAGCAAGCCCGTGCAGCGGGTCCTGCGGACAGGGGCCGGCCTCGCTGCAGCAGGGCCTGGGGCGGGCGCTCACCCCAGTCCGGGAAGTCCCGGCTGCTGCAGTACTTCTCCCCGGGGGGCAGCGGGTACAGGTAGTGGCCGCAGCTGCAGTTCCGGACCATGTGTTCTTGGAAGCAGGAGCGGATACAGGCCTGGGGGGAGGGGGGTGGACAGAGGCTGCGATGACCATGGTGACCCCGGCCGGGGGCGGCCCAGGGAGCTGGGGTCAGGGAGGGCCTCCCACCCCGAGGTGCGGGGCCCAGAGGACGCAGGGCGGACGCTGACAAGGCCCCGCGGCCTCCTGCGCCTTCTGCGGGGGGTGCTCCTGCGCCTTCTGCGGGGGGTGCTCCTGCGCCTTCTGCGGGGGGCGGCTCGGACTACCGGCCGGTGGGATGTGAAGATCTCCGGGTGGCCCGTCCAGCCCAGGGGCACCCCGCAGAGACCCTGTCTGCAGCGGGTTTCCCCCTCGGAGCAGCTGGGGCGGCAGGGGGATGAGGGCTCTGGCTTTGGGAAGAGCCTGGTGTTGGCACAGGTGGCCTGGTCCCCGCCACGGTCCCCGCCACGGGTGCTATTGCATTGGAAGGAGCTGAAGGTTTTCTGAAAAGAGGCCGCGGGCAGAGCTACTGCCTCGTGGGCTGGCCCTGTGGAGGAGGTGGCCAGGCCTGAGGGCGGAGGGGGGTGAGGCCAGCTGCATGGGCCACGGGGGGTCAGCTTCCTGTGGCCGCGCAGAAGGGAGACCACCCCTGCTGGCGCGCTCAGACACGGAGGCGGGCACCGGGTTCCCCCTTGCTATGCCTCAGTTTCCTTATCTGCCAAGACAGACTGAGGGGGCGTTGAGGGGAAGGAGTGCCAGCCAGTGGGTACTTTTGTCACCTTTGTGAAGATTTACTGGTCCGTCCCCTTCACTGGGACGGTCTGGCCCGCCTCGCAGGCTGACCCGCAGATCAGACCAGACAGCAGCCGGGCTGCAGCAGGGGGTTTAGGCCAGAGAGAAGGCGTGCGCTCACCCAGCCTCGAGGCTCCTAGTAACGGCTGCTGCGTTAGGCTGTTGTGCGGCCTGAGTGATCGGATGTGTAAAGAACTTGGCAGTGCCGCCTGGCACGTGATCAGCCTGCTATTAGCACTAGTTCACACTGACAATAGCTGAACAGCCCGTAATAATTAACAGCTGCTGAGTGTACCCCCCCCCACCCCAGGGGTGTTGGAAGGACCAAATGGTGATGTAACACATGCAAAGTCTTAGCTCATACACACACGGTTCTCAGGGCCCCAGAGGGAGACCCTTACAGCCCTGGGCCTCCCGAGGGGGGTGGCAGGTGGGCACCCCCGGGGCCTGCTGAGAACCCAGGGACTGGACTGGCTCTACAGCCCAGGGTACCACTAAATCCACGAAACCACCCCAACGTGCCACAAACCCAGCACAGCCAGCCCCGCCAGGCCAGGGGCCCCGCGCCTTCGGCCCCGAGCAGGCGGCCGGGCCAGGGCGGGAGGAGGCCGCACGCTACCTGGATGGAGTAGGAGGTGTTGTAGCCGTGGTACAGGTTGTGGACGGGCACGTCGGAGCCGTTCGCCGTGCACTGGCTGTAGGGCTTGCCCTTGCGCTCCAGCTTGTCCTGAGTCAGAGCGGGTGTTGGTGGGACCTGGTCACCCAGGAGGCCCCTGCCCTGCCGGCCACTCCGCAGGTGCCTACGGCTCTGCCAGGGGGTGGAGGGCAGCGGCCCAGCAGGTGCCGGGGTGCTGTCCTCCCGGGAGCGCGGCTGCCCGGGGGCAGAGCCGGGGGCAGGAGGCCCACGAGGGGAGGCCGCTGGCAGAGGCCACCCTCCCCCCGCGTCCCTGGGCCGCGTACCACCAGCACCCCGATGGATGTCTCCGTCCCGGACATGGCGTAGATGCCCTCCTCCTTGACGAAGGGGTAGGACCTCTGCTCGTGCAGCAGCAGCCGGGCGCCGGCCGTGGACGTGAGGAAGGGCACGTAGTCCTCCTGGCCCAGGTCCAGGATCAGCTTCAGGCCTGAGGGAGGGCCGAGGCTGCTGCAGGGGGCCTGCCGCCCGCTGTCCGTGCCCCCGCCCGGGCCTCCCTGCCGCCTCCCGTCTTCTCCGCCCACCCTGGTCCCCGCCACCGCCCTCTCCCGGGCCCCCGCTCCCCACCCACACGGCAGGCCCACCGGGCACGGCGGCCACCACGCCTCAGTCAGCCCCGTGCTCTCCCGGTGCCAGGCCACCCCGCCCGGGGAGACCCGCCCTCCCGCAGGGCCCAGGCCAGGGCACCTCCTCAGCCTGCGTGGGAACCTGGGTCCACGGGGCAGGGCCCAGCGCTTCCCACTCAGCCTCGTTCTGCTCATTAGCAAATGCAAATGGCGTGGCTGCCCCAGGGGTCGCGTGGGGCAGGAACAGCTGAGCCCCCTGGCCACCCTCCCCTCGGCGGCCACTCTCCTCAGGCCCCAGCTGCCGCCCAGATCCTGTCCTTCAATGCTTGATGGCAGCCTGGCCCGGCCACACGTGGTGGGAGGTTAAAGCCTCCGGGTCTGGCCCGCAGGAGCGAGACTTACCGAACTCCACTCCGGGGTTGGACGAGGGCAGCGCCTGCTCAGCCATGCCCCAGTTGAAGATGTAGCAGTTGCCGTAGTCAGGGTGGAAGAGGGAGGTGAAGTTCCTGAAAGAAACAGCAGCAGCTGGAGCGCAGCCCGCCCGGTGCCTGGTGCCTGATGCCTGGTGCCCGATGCCTGGTGCCCAGTGCCCGGTGTCTGATGCCTGATGCCTGGTGCCCAGTGCCTTATGCCTGATGCCTGGTGCCCAGTGCCTTATGCCTGATGCCTGGTGCCCAGTGCCCGATGCCCGGTGTCTGATCCTGGTGCCCGGTGCCCGATGCCCGGTGTCTGATCCTGGTGCCCGGTGCCCACCCAGCTGCTGTGCAGCCTGGCAGCCCAGGGCCCAGGCAGGGAGGCGAGTGGCAGACACAGCCGGAGAGACGCCCAGATTCCCTCAGGAAAGAGGGGAGAAGGGGGGGGGTGGCTCGGGCTTAGCCAGGAACCAGGAGTGTCTTTCACGCCTTCATCTGCCGCCTCGCAGGGTCGGGCTCAGTCAGGCCTGTGCACGTGCCCTTGTTTGGGGAACCTCTTTGCGCATGTGACTAAGGACCCTGAGGGGAGGGCAGCCCTGGTGGCCCCACGTCCAGTCCCAGCGTCTTTAGCAGGGCCAGGGGATTCCCAGGCAGAGCGGCGTGGGAAGATGAGGCAGAGGAGGGGGTGACACAGCCACAAGCCCAAAAGGCGGGGACCCCAGAAGCTGGCAGAGGCGGGAAGGACCCTCCCCGGGGCCTGTGGAGGGAGCCGGCCCTGCCACACCTTGATTGGACCTCTGGCCTCTCCCGTGAAGAAACAAATCCTGTCACTTAAGTCACTCTCAGAGAAGCGAACTGGACACCTGGCCATTCGGATAAAGAGGGAGATGGGCAGAGCCAGGGTCCCCGGGGGCCGGGGGTCAGCAGGGGTCCCCGGGGGCCGTGGTCAGCAGGGGTCCCCGCAGGGCTGTGGGCAGAGCCGGGTCCCGCGGGGCTGTGGGAGGAAAGAGCCCCACAGGAGGCAGGACCCTCCACGGTCCTGTCACGTCAGATGGCTTCCTAAGGAAATGACCCCACAAGAGAGGCTCTGTCAGGTGCTCTCGGAGCACCATGCCAGGGGTTCTAAAAGGTGCTGCTGAACGTGCTTTCGGGGTGGAGCATTTCAAACATGAGAGAGTGCCCAGACGCAGCCCACCCAGCACCACAGGCACCACCCGCCTCTCCCCGCCCCGGGACCTGGAGCAGACCTCAGACAGCACAGACATTTGCAAGCATTTCAGATGGATCCTAAAAGAAAGGACTGGCCGAAACCGGTTTGGCTCAGTGGATAGAGTGTCGGCCTGTGGACTGGAAGGTCCCAGGTTCAATTCCGGTCAAGGGCGTGTACGTTGGTTGCGGGCACATCCCCAGTGGGGGGTGTGCAGGAGGCAGCTGATCAATGATTCTCTCTCATCGATGTTTCTAACTCTCTATCCCTCACTCTTCCTCTCTGTAAAAAATCAAAAAAAATATATTTAAAAAAAAATAAATAAAAGAAAGGACTAAAAGTCAATGCTACAATCATGTTAAAAACAACAAGAATTCCTTCATATTACGAAATACTCAGTTCAAAGCTGCAGTTGTCTCATAAATTGCCTCATACATTTTGTTTTTCAGTTTATTCAAATTGGGATCCACATGATGTTAATATATGATTGGCTGATAGGTCTTTGAAGTCTCTCTCTTTAAAACACACACACACACACACACACACACACACACACACACGTTAATTGACCTTAGAGAGAGAGGAAGGGAGAGGGAGAAAGAAAAACAACTATCAGCTGCCTCCTGCACCCTGACCGGAATCAAACCCAACCCGGCCCAGGCCCTGACCAGAACTGACTGGTGATCTTCCGGTGCAGCCACGACGCTCAGCCACCTGAGCCACCCGCTGTGGCTTTTAAGTGTCTCTCAGCGCGGCCTTGCCATGCAGCTGTGCAAAGGGCCTGGAGGGTCCTGGCTCCTAGTGGAGGGTGTGCCCCGCTGGGTGGCTTTGCACCCTGAGCCAGGCTCTGGCTGGGCACAGGCTGAGAGCCAGGCTTCGCCCTGCCCCACTGAGCAGGACAGAGCGTCTGTACCACTGGCCACAGACAGACCATCAGCCTACAGACCCAGACTGTGTGGACTCAGCGAGGAAATAACCCAGTTTCCCCAGCAAACAGAGAGGAGAGGACCCCCTGAGAGGAACTGGAGGACGTGGTCACTGCCCGGGGTGGGCTGCAGCTGGAGCCTGAGTCACAGCAGCAGACATTCCCGAGGCGAGCACCACTGAGGAGTTATCGATGATTTGCCCCCGGGGGACGAGGGCATTGTGTTCCGTCACAGAGCCACCCTGAAGGCTGGGATGCAGAACCTCCAGACTCCACAGAGGGTAGAAATAGCTTTAAAAATGTCTTAGGATGCTTTCACACTTCTTTCTTATTTTGTTCAGAGCAGGAGGGCTGGGCTCGGGCATCGATGCCCAGAGGGCCCCCTGAAGCTCTGGTCCCCATCTTCCGTGCCACACAGACACCCGCCCGCCCCCTCTCAGCAGCACCACGCCTGAACCCACTGTCCTCCGCTGACTGCTCGCGGCAGCCGCCTCCCCGCAGACCGGGCCGAGGACAGTGCCGTGTCCGTCTGGGGGCTGAGAGCCCGCCGGGAGCCAGCGGCGGAACACATGCTGCGGCCCCTGCCGGCCGGAGCGGGGGGACGGCCTGCCTCTGAGCCGCGCTCACCGCAGCCGGGCAGCGCACACCCACCCAGGACCCAGGCAGGCGGGATGCCGAGCACACTGCCCTCAACAGGACAGACACCCGGTAAATCCTGGTTAACGTCAGAAACCGTCAGACTGGACACTTACGGAGGAGGATCCAAGATGGCTGCTCAGGTAGACACCTAACCGCGGCAGCACACAACAATTTCAATGGAATACAACTAAAATGTAGAGTGGACATTGCCCAGAGCTACAGGTAGTCGACTGACTGAAAATTCTACAACAAGAAGAAAAGAGAAAACCAGAAGGAAAATCAGAGGAGCTGAAAAAAAGCCTAAGGTACGGAGACATGCTGCGCGCCCGCCCGCTCGCACGCACGGAGAGGTCGCAGCCGGAGAGGAGGAGAGGGCTGGGTGCTACCTGGCGTTCTCTAGCAGGAAGGAAATAAAACCCCCAGCCTGGGCTGAACCCCCGAACCGGCAGCGCTGAGCCCCAGTTATGAGCCAGACCCTGGGGACCCAGGCTCTGGCAGGGGGAGACGGGGCTGTGAGGCGGAATCCCAGAAGAGCAGCGAAAAGCAGGGCCCCCAGAGTCGCGCGCAATGCGCGCGGAGGACTGAATGTTGACTCTGATGCTGGATTGCCCTAGCGGGAAGAAACAAAGCCTCCGGCGGTGCTGAGCCCTACTCCCGACCACCCCAAACTCCAGTTCTGGGTCAATTCCTGGGGACCCAAGCTCAAGCAGAGGGAGACGGGGCTGTGAGGTGGAGTCCTGGGGGAGCGGCGAAAGGCCGAGCCCCCGGAGTCGCGCACACTGCGCGCAGAGGACAGCCTGACTCTGATGCTAGACACCCCTAGCAGGAAGGAGAAAAAAAAGCTCCAGACTGGAGGAATGCGACGAGGAGCAGGAGCCCCTGCCGGATGCTGGCCAACCGGGCACCAGCAAGGAACCGGGAGACGGGGCCTCCAGGGGGGAGGGTGCCCCCGAGCCTTTGACCGCTGAGCGTGGGCAATGGAGCCAAGGCCGAGGGCTGCTGACCCCAGCAACAGGCTGAAGCAGTGCAGGAGCCCGCGGAGAACAAAGGGGTGCCTCAGGCCAACCTGCTGTGCTCCCAGGACAAGGAGGAAGAAACTGAAGAAGTTCTCAATGAGAAGAAATCAAGGGAGAGCAAAAGATAGTAAAATTACTTAAGAAAGAACACAAAGAAGATCTTGAAAAATCAAAGACTAAGTCAGAACTCAACTCAACAGCCAAGATTGCAACATAAATGCGTTTAAAAAAAAAAAAAAAAAAAAAGGTCAGAATGTTGGAACAGCGGCGGCCAGGCCTAGAGTGGCCAGGCACAAGGCAGTGGCTTCCGGGCCTGGAGCAGCAACAGCCAGGCTCCAGAGCAGCAGCAGTCAGAACCAGAGCAGCCAGGCCTGGAGCAGCCAGACCTGGGGCAGTGGCAGCCAGGCCTGAGGCGGAGGCGGCCAAGCCCAGGGTGGCCAGTCCAGGAACACCCAGACCCGGAGTGGCCAGGCCCGGAGAAGCCAAGCCCAAAGCAGCCGGGTCGGGTGCGGCCAGGCCCGGAGCAGCGGCGACCAGGCTGGGGGCAGCCAGGCCCAGAGCAGCTGGGTCAGGTGCGGCCAGGCCTGGAGCAGCGGCTGCCAGGCTGGGAGTGGCCAGGCACGGAGTGGCAGCTGCCAGGCTGGGAGCAGCCAGGCCCAGAGCGGCAGCTGCCAGGCTGGGAGCGGCCAGGCCCTGAGCAGCGGGGTCCGGTGTGGCCAGGCCCGGAGCAGCGGCTGCCAGGCCTAGAGCGGCCGGGCCCAGAGCAGCTGGGCCCAGAGCAGCCGGGTTGGGTATGGCCAGGCCCGGAGCAGCAGCAGCCAAGCCCGGAGCAATCAGGTCAGGAGCGGCAGTGGCCAGACCCGGAGCAGCTGGTTGTGGAACCGACCAGAGCAACAGAGGCCAGGCCCGGAGCAGCCAGGCCCGGAACAGCTCGCTCCTCACCTACCCCCGCCCCAAGGCTGCCTCTCAGACATGGCTGGAAACTTTTGGGGGAACTTGAGGGTCTGCTGAATCAAGTGATGAAGGCTTAGATCTGGATGTGTTGAGTTAGTATAGGGCTGGGGCGTTGATCTGTGAGTGCCTTGGGTGAGGCCTGGATGAGGCTAGTTGACCTATTAGGAAATGTCTTTTGTGTGAAGTGTATCATTGGGCATGTGGAGGTATTATTGATATGAGAAAATGCTAAGTAACTGATTTACTATCTGAAAAGGGATTTACTATCGGGGAAAGGGAGGGAGGAAGAGACTGAACATAAACTGTGCACCTATGGATGAGGACAATGGGGGAGGGGAAGGGGGCGGAGGGTGGGGTGGGTACCTGGTGGAGGGGGGAAGAAATGAGGAACTTTTGTAATAATATGAACAATAAAGATTGATCTAAAAAATAAATTAATTAATTAACAAAAAAAGAAGAAACCGTCACACTGAGGAGGCATCCGCAGAGATGAGCGAGAAGGATCTCGCCTAACGCCCTGGGGGTGGGGTGGGAGTGCGTCAGGGAAGGTGAGGCCTGAGACGGAGGCTCCCTGGGCAGAGGCAGGGCGCCTGGCAGGCAGCCCAGAGGCGAGGGCCTGGAGGGCACACACAGCTTTGGGCGGGCACTGTGCTGTCAGCCTCCTGTGGGTTCAGGGCTGTGGGCACCAGAGAGGAACAGCGGTGCAAACCAGCTACAGCCGGCACTGCGCGGAGGGGCAGCCCGCCCGGGCGGGCGCTGTTCCCAGCACACCGGGGCGGCTGCAGCCGGCCGCGGCAGTCAGGGCGTGCGGTCCTCTCCCCCAGCTGCGCTCCGTCTCCCCACCTGCTGGCCCACCATTCGCTTGCTGATCTGCTCTCCACCCAGAGACAGGCTGCTAGAGCTGGCCCCTCCTGCCGCAGCACAGGCGGCACTCTCCCAGCCTCCCCGGGACAAGCAGGCCGCAGGGCACCCGGGATAGAGCCTCTCGGGCCGGTGGGGGCAGGGCCTGTGCCCGGGTTCAGCAGCGGCAGGACAACAGACTAACGGTGGTGTGACGTCCATCTATGCCAGATCCCCCTCCAGCTCATAGGCAGAGAGTAAGGAGCCCGAACAGTGAATAAACAATAAGTAACGGAGGGGCCTGGCACAGGCTGGCAGAATCTCTGTGGGCAGCAAGGGTTCCTAATGACACCGACAAGGCCAGCGATGCATCACCTCGCAGGTGGTCTGACCGTACGCCCCCTGCAGGCCATGGCGGTGGTCACACCACACACAGCTCCTTTAGAGGGAGGTGTGCTCTGCCCACTGTCCTGTGCGCCCCGTGACGGGCCTCAGAGGGGCCACGTCATCTTGTTAACTGTCCTGCCTTCCTCCCGCCGCCCTCCCCCCACCTCATGGTCCTCACGTTCCGCCTTCATCCCAGATGCACCATCACCGGGAAGCTGCTGGCTGCCCCTGTGCAGAGCATTGAGCTCTTCCCGCATCCCGGGCAGTTTGGCTCAAACACGAAAGTTCTCTTCAGCTTTGGACGTTCTTACACGGACACGCCGTGACCAACGCTGGACGAATCTGAGCGGAGGATGGATGACGTGGCCATCCATCCTCAGGAGCCCCCGGATACGTGACCACAGGTGCACGGAGAACAGCCAACCCGCCCACAGAAGAGCTCCCGGGAGCCCAGGCCTGCCCCACTGCCCCTGGAGGCCCAAGGCCAGCCTGTGACTCGCCCCCCTCATGCACGGGGCCCGAGGGGAAGCCTGCACTCAGCTCGGACCTCAATGCGTGGGGTCCCCCGTGTGACTGCCGAAGGGCACCTCACTGGTGTCTTCTTCCCTCGCCTGGCGCTCAGGGTTCAACCCTCCACCAGGACCCCTGAGAGGCTGCCGTCTGAGGAGCCGGCGCAGTGTGGCCTCCTGCGTGGGACTCGGGAGCAGACAGGGCACCAGGAAACAAGGGGACCTGATGTTGGTCAGGTCCCGGCCAAGGTTGGGAAACGAGGGGACCTGATGTTGGTCAGGTCCTCGGCTGTGGTGGCGGCGGTGAGGAGGGGCCTGGCTCTGACTGCGACCTTGGCCACGGGCCTATGGATCTAAGACGACCCCACAGTAAACAGGCGACTAGATGCTTGGATAGTTCTTCCCAGGCGGCCGTGGCCTGAGGCGTGAGCACAGACCGGGTGCGGGCAGTGGGAGCTACGGGGTCCGACACGCTCACCTGTAGCTGCAGGGCTCGGCCCCGAACAGGCAGGCCAGGATCAGCTGCTCGCTCGAGTAGCCCATCTTCACCAGCTCCTGGGTTGGCACCTGGGAGAAGATGTTGGTGGCCTGCAGGGTGTACCACTCTGTCACGGCCTGGGTGGCGCTGGTGAAGTTCCGGTAGGTGCACACGGTCCCATTGTGGCAGCACTGCGGAGACCGAGGTTCCTGTGGGTGCAGGGCACGGGCCGGGAGCGCCCGGCCAGCTGTCCCTGCCCGGGCCGCACCCTCCACAGCTGCCCGGCCACACGACTTACACACAGCCTCCACCCGCACGAGTGAACAGCCCCCCACACCCACACCCTTACATGCACACATATGCACACACACACACATGCACACACAAATACCGGGACAGGCACCACTTCCTGACATCCCAGCCACATGATGCATGGTCACAACTATGCACACACATGTTCCTGCTCCTGCTCACATACGTGAGTTGCTGTGCAAACAGACACCCTCGCCCTCTGACCCCCTGGCTCCTTTCCCAGCCCGGCCCCGGCTCCCAGAGACGGCTGCAGAGTGGGGGCGGAAGAGACTGGGTTGCCCCCGGGCTGAGGAGGGGCTGGCCTCTCAGCCTGAGCCCGGTGCGGCCTGCTCGCTGCAGCTGCCCTCCCGCCCCCCGCCGGCTCAGCTCAGCACACAGACACAGAACCCACCGGCCCTGGCTCACCTCTCTGCTCTGCTCGCCTCATCCCATAGGCCTTCCTCCTCACCCGACACCGGAGGGCCTTCCATCCCGGGCCAGCCCTTCCCAGGCAGGCGGGCCTGGACCTCAGAGGCCTGCTGGAGGCCTCCGTGCCCCTTAGGGGAATCCGCCCACTCTCTCAGGCCAGGCGCAGCCTCGAGGCTCTAACTAGTGATTCCATTCAGTTTTCACAGCAACCCGACCAGCATGAGGAACCGAGGCCAGAGAGTTTAATAAGGTGTGACAGCAGCAAACCTTGCCTGCACTCTATATGTGCCCACATGCAACACGTGCACACATGCATGCACATGCTGGTCGAGTCACCAGGGACACGCCTGCCTTGCCGATGAGGACATGGACCCGGGCAGCCCGGCCACTGTGCCAAAAGCAGCTGGGCACTGGGCTCCAGCTGGCAGCGGGACCCTGTAAGCCTCATGCCAGGGGCTGGCTTGTGCGGAGATGTGGGCGAGCCCTGGCCACATGGTGGCATGGAAGGCAGTGGCCTCTCTCCGGGGAGAGTGTGCCCCAGCCTGGGTCCCAACCAGGGGGTCTATCAGAACGGCCAGGGAGCTTGTTGACGTAGGGCTCTGGCTCTGGCAGAGCTGCCGTTCAGATTCATCAGGGCGGGTGGGGCGGCGCGGGGACCGCGCATCCCAGGCCCTGGGCAGCTCCAGGCAGCGCAGGTGCCTCCCAGTGCAGCATGCGCGGCTGCGGTAGTACCCGCCTGCTATCTACGTCCCTCTCTTTGTTGTTGGTAATCCTCACCCGCAGATATTTTCCCATCGATTTTTAGAGTGGGAGGGAGAGGGAGAGACACACAGAGAGAAACATCGATGTGAGAGAGACACAACGATTGGCTGCCTCATGCATGCGCCCTGGCCAGGGCTGGGAATTGAGCCTGCAACCAAGGTGTGTGCCCTTGACCAGAATTTAACACAGGGCCCTTCAATCTGCAGGCCAATGCTCTATGCCAATGCTCTATCTACTGAGCCAAACCAACTAGGGCTGTACCCTGTCTTTTGATAGGAAGACTGAATTCATCCTTCAGGGCGCCACCCCTCCCCTCTTGCTCTAGACGCATGTGGTCCGACCAGGAGAGCCCACCTCCAGCCCACCCGATTGGTTTGGGGCTGAGCATGTGACCTGATGATCAGGCCCAGGCCTTCTGCCATGGTCACTGGGAAGGAGGGGCATTCTGGGAGCGTGCTGAGCTGGGGAATGTGGGTCTGGCATGGTCTCGGCCCTCCAGGTGGAGAGAGCCGACTAGAGCGTGAAGTCAACTGAGAAAAGTGCAGGTGACCGTTACATACAATAAGAGTATGACACCGAGCCGAAGCCGGTTTGGCTCAGTGGTAGAGCGTTGGTCTGCGGACTGAAAGGTCCCAGGTTTGAATCCGGTCAAGGGCATGTACCTTGGTTGTGGGCACATCCCCAGTAGGGGGTGTGCAAGAGGCAGCTGGTCAATGTTTCTAGCTCTCTATCCTTCTCTCTTCCTATCTGTAAAAAATCAATAAAATATATATTAAAAAAAAAAAAGAGTATGACACCGGTATACTCTTATTAGCCAATGTCACCCCAATAAATCCAACAAAACATGGTGAACCTTTTTTATCAGACAGGCGTGATGACGACATCTGAACACCTGGATCCAGCCACACCGGAGCCCAGTGTGCCTGTGGGCTTCCTCATACGTGAGCCAGTGAATTCAGTTTCGCTTAAGCTAGTTTGAGCTGGGTCCCTTGCATCCAAATGTCTGACTAACATACGTACCAGCTCTTCCTGTTTAAAATGGCTGGCAAACACACAGCAGGGCCCCGGCCATGAAAGGAAAGCGAAGCCCACCCTCCTCACTGGGCAGGGCCCTGGGTGGACGTGGCCGGAGCCCGCTTACCAGCCTCATGGCTACTTTGCACCGCGGGCCATTGCAGGCCCTTCCTGGCGCTGGGCTGCCGCGTGCCGACGCGTTGAGGTTGTCTGCGAAGAGGTCGAGGACCACAGGGCGGAGGGGGTTCCGCTCGTCGATAAGGACCAGGGGCGTGTGGTTCCAGAGGGTGAGGTTCAGGGCCCTGGTGGCGTTGGCGCCGGCTGGCTCGGGAGCCACGATCCTCTCCAGGACAGCTTCCATCAGCTGGTCCAGGTCCTTCAGCAGGTGCCTGACCTTGGAATACCTGGGAGGGGAGAGGACTGGTCGGGGCACGGGCAGCAGGGAGCAGCCACTGTGGCCCGGGATCCCCTCGTACGCTGCCACCGTGTGGAGAGCGCCCTGCCCAACACGCACTTCTCCGCCCACTCACTCCTGTGTCCGCGCACCGAGTATTTAGTGAGCACCTCCCGCGCGCCAGGCACTGTGAAGGTGCAGACACAGAAGAACCGAGGCTGTGGGAGTTGCTGTGACTCCCCGAGCTCACCCCCTGCCGAGGGGGCGCTGAGCCTGGGCCCGGGGTGTGTGGGCTGCAGCGGGCACACTGTTTGCACACGGCATCTGCTGTCGCCCTCCCAGAGCCTCCTTTCCCAGCAGTGATTTGGGGACCAGGAGCCAGTGTCAGGAGGAAGGCGTGGCTGGGATGCTACTACCGCCTGGACGTCCACAGCTGCTGCCAAGCGTGCGGTCACTGCGCGGACTGTGGGTTCAAACCCACGTAACATCGGGGTGGCACTGGGCAAGTGGACCTCTCTGAGGCCTGTTCTCTGAGCTATAAAATCGGGGGAACAGTGTTTATCACAGAGGCTGCTGGGAGGAGCAGGGAAGCAGGCTCCTAAAGGACAGAGCCGGGACGGAGGGCCGTTTACTACAATGACAGGGTCCTCCTGAGCCCTCGCTGCCAGCACCCGCCACATGTGCAGGGGCCTCTCACTGAGAAAGGGACTTCCTGGAATTGGAGATGGAGATGGATCCGGAAGTGAGCATCCCTTCCGAGGATCTTCTTGGGACAGAATGTTCTCCAGCCCTGACTGGAGTGGCTCAGTGGATAGAGCATTGGCCTGTGGACTGAAGAGTTGAGGGTTTGATTCCGGTCAAGGGCCTATACCTTGGTTGCAGGCACATCCCCAGTAGGGGGTGTGCAGGAGGCAGCTGATCAATGTTTCTCTTTCATCGATGTTTCTGACTCTATCCCTCTCTCTTCCTCTCTGGAAAACCAATAGAATATATTTTTTTTTAAAAAGAAAAAAAAAGAATGTTCTCCAGCTTCAGCCTACTGGCCCTTCTCTCAGTTCTTTGAACGCACCAAACTGTCTCCCCCAGGCCCTGGCACATGCTGTGCCCCCACTTGGAGTGCCCTCGGCGTCCGACCAGGTGGGCTACTTGTACTCACTCTTCAGGGCGTTTTTCTCTGACCGACCCGCTGCCTCTCCCGAGGACTGGCGAGGCTGGGTCTCCTTGTGTGTCCTCTCATGGGCCTCGCCATCGGGGGCTTCAAGGTGGCGGCCTGACTCAGATCAGGCCTGAGTGCAATGCCACTGCTGCCCACTGTGTGTCTCGGGGCAGGTTCCGTGACCTCTCTGAATCTCCACTTCCTGGCCTGTAACTTGGGGCTATGACAGGAGTGCCCCCGAGTATTTGTGTGGATTAGAATTATACGCATTACCCAAGAACACACAGCACCCTGCCTGGCATTTCACAAGCCCTCGATGCATAGCTGCTGTACATGTGTTTTTAATCATCACTTTGTCATTATTGAGCTATTATAATTAATTTAATATTTAAGGGGAAAAGATCAGTGTCTGTTTTCTTTGGTGGGCTGTGAAGAGAGCAGGGACTTCTATTCGCTGATGTATCCCCAGTGCCCATAGCAGTGCCTGGCACATAGTAGGTGCACTAAACACACACTCTGAAGCAACCATTGGGCATCGGTGTGCCTGAAGACAGGGTCTGCTAGATATTCCCACGCTCTCTCATTGAATTTTGAATATTACTTGCTGCAAAGGGATGGAAGCAAATAGGGAAAAAAGGAAAGAAAGAAAGAAAGAAAGAAAGAAAGAAAGAAAGAAAGAAAGAAAGAAAGAAAGAAAGAAAGAAAGAAAGAAAGAAAGGAAGGAAGGAAGAAAGAAAGGAAGGAAGAAAGAAAGAAAGGAAGAAAGAAAGAAGGGAAGAAAGAAAGAAGGGGAGGGGAGGGAAGGAATAGGAGATAAAGGAGGGAAAAGGGAGTAAGAAAAAGGGAGAAAGGAAAGCTGCAGGAGGGCGGAAGGAGAGGGGGAAAGGCACAGGAGGCCAGCCTGGCGCTCCAGGGACCACCTACTGGAAGGGGCTGGCATTGCAGATGGTGACGGCGGGGAAGTCCATGGTCTTGAAGCCGATGGAGAGAGAGACGCTGACCTCCCAGCTCAGGTAGGTGCGGATGAAGACACCCCACTGCCAGAAGACGATGGAGGCGAAGAGCAGCGTGAGCACGAACCACATGGCCTTCTTCTTGGGCCCCTCGCAGATGATGCGCTTGGGGCCGTGGGTGTTGGTGTTGTCGCAGTACCACACCAGCAGCTCCTTGTAGGTGTAGCCGGGGCCCTTCTGCAGCCGGTGCAGGCACCGGACCAGGTACTTCTTCACCTGCATCGCGGCACCTGCAGACACGCATGCACGGTGCTAGGACACCAGCCTCGCGCGGAGGCCGTCCCGACTCCGCCAGAGCACCCCCGGGAGACGGCAGTCCAGGTTGCAATGGCACTTGTCCCTCCCTCCCTCCCTTCCCTCTTCCCTCCCTTCTCCTTCCTTTTTGCCATCTCTCATCATCCACCTACTCCTCCATCCAACCAAAATGCCTTTGTTGAGTGCCTACTGTATGCCAGGCACTGGATCAGTCCCTCTGGACTCAATACAGAGCAAAGGAACATGTCTCTGCCCTCCGGGAGCTTCCAGCCTGGCAGCCAAGTCACTCACACCCGCAGCCTCGGGGTCTGTCTGTGAAGCGGAGCCTAGTTCAGAGGCCCGCTGAGAGGCGAAGTGCCGGTTTGGCAGCTGCCATCCGACAAGCTGATAGCAAGTGGACAAACGTGAGGGAAGCTCCACCGGAAACGCACGCCTGCAGAGTGTGATGGGGGGGGGGGGGGAAGTTCCAAGCTCCCAGAGGTTAAGAACGAGGACCCTGGCCCTGGCCGGCTGCTTCAGAGGCTGGGGCCGACCAAAGGGTTGCAGGTCTGCTTCCTGGTTAAGGGCACGGACCTTAGTTGTGGGTTCAATCCCTGTCCCCCATTGGGCTTGTGTGGGAGGCAACGAATCTCTCTCTCTCCTCCTGTCTCTCCCTCTCCTCCTTCTACTCTCTCAAAAAACAGTGGAGGAAATCCTCAGGCGAGGATGACAAGAAGGAAGACTAGAGCTGAAATGTCTGGCTTTGCGTTTGGCTCTGTCATGTTCCAGTTGTGGCTCTGAATAAATCACTTGCTCAGTGTCTCGGTTGCCTCATCTGTAAAATGGGAATAATAATGTCCTCTACCTCCGGGTCGTTGTGAAGACAATGAAAATATGGAATATGGATCAATGTCTGGCTCCTAAGTGTCAGCTGCTGTTATTACAACTGCTCCCCCTCTTCCCCCACCCAGGCTGAGAGTACCTGAGGAGGTCACAGCGGGGTTCCCTGGGGGAAGGATGGGGGGGAGGGGACAGAAGGAGCAAAGGAGCCTGGAAGGAGAGCAGGGCCCTGTGGGCCGTGTTAAGGATTTTGGTTTCAATTCCAAGAGAACTGAACCTTTGGAGGCGCGATGCCCTCAAGTCTGTGTCTGGAAGGAGCCTGGGCTGTCTGCAGACGGGGTGGAGCGGGGCGGATCCGAGCGTGGGTCTGGCATGGTGGGCAAGGCCTGCCCAACCTTTCTCCCAGCGGCACAGGAGGCAGCTTCTTAGGAGGATTGACCAAGACGTGGGAATGGGCAGGGGACAGCCTGTGTCCTCCTCCTCCCCGGTACCAGTACCGGTACCGGTACCGACACCGAGGGGCCCTGCGCAGAGCACCCCTCCCAGCCCGAGCCCGGCTGGCTGCAGGCCGCCTCCTTCACGAAGCCGTCCGCCTCCCTGGCTGAGACGCCTCTCGCCCTCCTCCGACGTTCGGGCACTGCGGTGGGCAGCCGGTGCCTGTCCAGCATCCTCTCCCCTTGCTCTGCCAGCCCTGCAGTGAGCTGCCCCTCGGCCAGCCAAAGCTGGCGTGAGTGCCGACTTGGCCTCCACCCCAGTTTGGCCCCCGGGACTCAGTTCTGTGACTTGACGCTGGAATAACTGCGGAGGAGACTCCTCCAGGAAGGATGACTGAGTCGGCGGTACTTGGCACCCACGGGGAAGACTACTCTAGAACAAAGCGAACACACAGGAGCCACACGCTGGAGAGAGATTTCTGACACCATTCAAACTCCTGGATCAGCCATTCCATCAGCTGTGGGAACCAATACGTTTTCCTTCTTGCTTTTGCTGATCCCAATTGGGTGCCTGTCATTTGCAACCATTAGAATCTCCAGGAAAAAGAAATTCTCCTTTTCAGCCCCGTGACAGCTTCTCCCCGCAGGCTCCTCGGAGGCCCATTCCTCCGCTTTCACGAAGCCACTGTGTCCGTCCATCCGTTCGCACCCCCCAAGCCCCGCTGCTGGCCCGCTGAACCAGGAGCCTTGGCTCACAGCTCACCAGGCACCTGGTCAGAATGAACAAGGCTGCTCTCCTGGGGTTTGTTTTTACTGTAAATGGGATCTTCTGTTTATGACGAGATACACTGGCATAGAGAACAAGACCCTATTTAGTCACCAATATAAGACCCTATTTAGTCACAAATGCAGAGCAGACGGCAGAGACGGCTTGCCTCTGAACTCCGGTCTGGCCCCTGGGAGAGCAGCTAAGGAAGAAGCAGTAAGTGCTACAAACAGTGCGGACCTCCCCTCCCAGGTGATGGATGGCCTGTGTTTGGAGTGCACACACAGCTTGTGTGGAGAGCTGCTTAAATCTGTTTACAGCCGACACCGACCCATAGCGGCTCCGTGGGGCTGGAGTCCCTCGCCGGACGCAAGGAGAGCGGAGGCGGCATGCCTCGCGCCGTCCGGAGGGCTGCGTCCCTCCCGCCCGGGCAGCAAGCTCAGAAACAGTGAAGGCCGTGCTGTCAGAGAACACGTGCTGTCAGAGACGGAGGCCGAGACTGCCCTGGCCCTGGTGGAGGGACCAGGAAGCACCAGTGTCACTGGCCGGTGTCACGGAAGTGCGTTCATCAGGTCTGTCTGAGCCTCCGGACGGACGACAGGCTGCATGGGGAGGCCAGGAGCTGCACTGGGTTTGCCCAAGTCCCCCTCCCGGACTGGAGCGTGTCCTGAGCGCCAAAAAGGCCGTGGGTCCCACTCCACGTGCGGCATCTAGCAGCTGACCAATGCTCTTCTCTCAGCAATGTTCTTTCTCCCCTCCCTCTCTCTAACTCAGTAAAAACATATCCTTGAATGAGGATTTTAAAAATTCCCCTTATAAAATAACAGTTTTATTGAAATATAATTCACATAGCATAGAATTCACCCATTTAAAGTGGGGAGTCCAGTGGATTTTCGTGTATCCACAGAGTTGTTCAACCGTCACCACAATAAGTGTTAAACATTTTTGTCTTCCCCCAAAAGAAACTCTATCCCTCACTTCCTGTTCCTCCCTCCACCCTCCCCAACCCCAGGCAACCACTAACCTATTTTCTGTTTCTGGAGATTTACCTATTCTGGACATTTCATATCCTGGTCAACCATACCTCATGTAGCCCTCTGTGCTGGTTCCTTCCACGTCTCAATGTTTCCCAGGCTCATCCATGTTGTAGCCTGTAGCAGCGTTTTTTAAAATTGCCAAATAATATTCCCTATTATTATGGATGTGACACATTTGATTTATCCATTCATCAAGTTATGGGAGTTGGCTATTATGCTACTATGAACATATGTGTGCACGTTTCGGCGTGGACACTTTCACTTCTCTTGGGCATATTCCCCGGCGTGGACATGCCCTGGATCAGATGTAAGTCTCTCTGTCCAGCCTTTCTAGGAGCTCCCACCGTGGTGCATGGGTTCCAGTCCCTCCACATCTTCCAGCTCTGCCAGTGGCCATTGAAAAAGCTACGGTAGCCGTCCTAGGGGTGTGACGTGGTGCTTGTTCTGTGTTTTATTTGCTTTTTTCTGATGACTCATGTTGTTGACCATCTTTTCATGTGTTATTGGCCAATATAGTCATTAAAGGGCCAGTAAATCTTTGGAGAAATATGCATTCAGTTCCTTTGCTCATGCATTTTAATTGGCCTATTTGTCTTTTTTATTGCTAAGTTCCATATAGGTTTATTTTCCATATATGTTCCTTATCAGATGTAGGATTTGCAAAGATGTTCTTCTGTTCTGTGGGTTATCTTTTCACCTTCTTGACTGTGGCCTTTGAAGCACAAAACTTTCTAAATTTGATGAAAACCAATTTGTCTATGTTTCTTTTGTTGCTCGAGAATTGGTATTATTTTAAGAATCCATTGCCTAATCCAAGGTCATAAAGCTTATTCTTACTATCTATTCTAAGAGTTTTAAGGTTTTAGCTTTTATAGTTAGGCCTTTGAAGTAATTTTTGTTTGTGGAGTAAGGTAGGAGTTCAACTTCATTATTTTGCATTCGAGAGCCACTTGTCCTAACACCAAGGCTATTCTTTCCCCATGCAATTGCCTTGGCACCCTTATGGCTATTTTTTAAAATTACTTATATTAAATAAAACCTAAGTAAATGGCAAGATACACCACGTTCATGGGTCAGCAGACTCAATATTGTTAACATGTCAGTTAACCCCAAATTAATCTCTAGAGATAATTGTGTCTTAATCAAAATCCCAGCAGACTTTTAGCAGACATCAATAAGCTGTTTCTAAAATTCATATAGAAAAGCAAAATAACTAAAATAGAAAAAAACACATTGGAAAAGAAGAACAAAATTGAAAGACATATAGCATCTGGATCAAGACTCACTATCCGGTGTAATAATCAGAACAGTGTGATATTGGTGCAATGGCAGACCTATTGACCAATGGAATGGGAATAGGGTCCAGAACTAGGTGCCAAGGTACTTTAACGTAGGAAGGATAGACTTTTCGACCAGATGCTGAAACAAATGGATATTTGTAGAGGAAGAGGTGAATTTCAACCCCCACCCCACACTATAGACAAACATTAACTTAAAATAGATCAGAGACTGAAACACAAGAGCTTGTGCTGTGGGCCACACAGGAGGAGGACGGGGAAATCTGTGCATGTAGCGCGGGCAGCGCTGTTTAAGGCCGGTCACTGAACCATGGATTAGAAAAGGAAAGAACCTGTAAGGTGTACCTAGTTAAAGTAAAATCTTACCTTCAAAAGACACTGTTAAAGCATGAAAGAGAAAGCCACTGAGAGAAAATATTTGTAATAACATGTCTGGAAGAGTCTGAGTGAAGAATACATAAAGAGTCCTGAGAACTCAATGAGAAAGCAAGAGGCCCAACCAAAATGGGCAGCAGGTTTGGAAAGACAGGCAGAAGAGGGTGTGCGAGTGGCCTTGAGCACATGGAAAGATGCTTCACTCATTACTCGCTGGGGAATGCAAACCCAGAGCTCG